AGCTCAATGGCACAGCACTTGCCTAGCATGTGTGAGGCACTGAGTTCGATCCTCAGCACCACATAAAAATGAATAGGTGAAATAAAGGCATTCTGTTCATCTATGACGAAAAAAAAAAAAACCAAAAATAAACAAAAAGAACTACAAGGGTCATGGCATACTGTCCACCAGGATTCAACCAAGCATGATAATGATCATAACTGCCACTATATGTGTATGTATGTAGAAAAGCTGGAGACTCAGACATGAGTCAATAATACTTAATGTCTAGGCAACTAGTAAGAAGTATCCGAACTATGATATAAAGAGTAGAAATCAGGAGGAGAGAAAGAACTTAAAAGATACTGAAATGACATAAGACATTATACCATCCATTTATTCTCTCCCAGGTAGTAGTATTTGTTAAGACATTCGTTACTTCTCATGGAGAAAAAAAGTAGCAGTGGTAGGACAGAAACTAAACTGAGAGGATGAAAAGTGGTGAAAAGCGGGTTGGGGGGGGGAATCACAAAGGCTACTCTTTGTTCTTTCCTTTTTTAATTATTTTTTTATGAACCCAATACCTTTATTTATTTATTTTTATGTGGTGCTGCGCATCAAACCCAGTGCCTCACACATGCTAGCAAGTGCTCTACCATTGAGCCACAACCCCAGCCCCTACTCTTTTCCTCAGTGAAGAAAGAAGAGAAAAAGTAGCCAGGCATGGTGGTGTAGGAGGCTGAGGCAGGAGGATCAAAAATTTGAGGCCAGACTGAGCAACTTGGTAAATCTCTGACTCAAAAAATAAAAAGGAAGTGCAGGGGGAAGGGGATGTGGCTCAAGGGTAAAGCACTTGCCTAGGATGTATGAGGCCATAGGTTCAATCCCTAGCATCACCAACCCACCCTCTCTCCCCTAAAAAAACAGTCAAAGAGTTGGGGACATGTAGCTCAGTGGTAGAGAGGCCTGGATTTAATCCCCAGTACGAGAGAGAGAGAGAGAAAATGAATATGTGTGCAGATCTTATGCTATGAAATGAAAGAAAAAAGAATAAGGCTTTTGAAGAAATGCAGATGCTCTCTGAGCAGGAAATGAAAGAATCATTACTGGGCCCTAATGTACATTCTATAAGAAAGCAAAAATAGGAATGTATTTTATACTATATATACACACATGCACATACACACACTATATACTTTTAGTATATCCATGTGACCAAAATAATGCCTTATACATTAGAAGATTTTAATAGACTGATCAAATAAGAGTTGAAGAAGTATTTGTGATTTTGAAACTAGAAACAAGCCAARTGCAATAGCTCATGCCTATAATCCCTCTGGCTCACAATGATAGTGTTGCCTCTGATCTTTAAATAAAATTTGTCTTTCTTATATATTCACACACTTAAAAAAAGAAATGGCTAGGGGGGGCTGGGGATGTGGCTCAAGCGGTAGCGCGCTCGTATGGCATGCGTGCGGCCCGGGTTCGATCCCCAGCACCACATACAAAGATGTTGTGTCCGCCGATAACTAAAAAAATAAAAATATTAAATTTCTCTCTCTAAAAAAAAAAAAAAAAAAAAAAAAAAAACCCTCAGGTGGAAAAAGTTAGGAAAGAGGTGGAAAAACAACTGATGTTGAAAAAAAAAAAAAAAAAAGAAATGGCTAGGACTGTCAAAGATAATCTCACACTGAATCTAAATTATCAAAGATAGACAATCAAACATAACACTAGATTTCAGATCTATGTAGACATGTCAAACAGCACAAATTTATGCTCTAACAATTAAAAAGGAGACACAGAAGTTGCTGATGCTAGAATAAATAGTTCTTTGCAAAGGGTCAAGAGTAGAAGATAAAGGAATCAGATGCCTTGCCTAGACAGTAGAAATTAGGCAATAAACAAAAAGAGTTTTTTTAAAATTAATTACACCCTCAGATATCAAGCTGAGAATATATCTGTAAGTCATATATACTAATTCTCATAAAACATGAAAATTTCAGAGAATGCCTTCTTGGCCACAGATGAAAATTTAAAATCTAATGATGAAACACTCTTTATGAGCACTTGCCTAGCACATTTAAGGCACTAGCTTTAATCCTCAGCACCACATAAAAATACATAAAATAAAGGTATTGTGTCCATTTACAACTAAAAAATTTTAAAAATAAATAAATAAATAATAGGCATTCATATTTACCATTGTAAGTATTTAAAATTAACACATAATAATCTGAATTAAAATCCAATTCCTCAACTAAAGGCTTACACAATGTGAAATACTTACAGTACACTCTTGCATCTCTTGTTCCTTCGTTGCTAGTCGCATTACAAGGATGTTTTCCCTGCGTGCAGACTCCTGCTGCTGTTGCTTTAGTTTCTCTTCAGACTCCCTTAAACCAGTTACGTCATTTGCTGATTAAAAGAAAAAAATTACAAAACATTATGAATATAATTTCAAGAATAAACCAAAAGAAAGTTTCAATGATCTCTGTCAAGATTAATAAAATACAGGGTCAATCAAGTATAGTTTTCCTCCTATTTTTAAAACAAGGATATTTGTTCTTGCTTATGAGAACTCTTTTTAGGAAGTAATGATATTATGTTCCACAACTATCTTCTACACTGAGTTATGAGTTTACAGTCCCAGTGACTTAGGGGGCTTAGGCAGAATTATGGCAAGTTCAAGGCCAGCCTCAGCAACTAAGTGAGAACCTGTCAGACCATAATGAAACCAAAACAGGAAACGGCATTATTTGAATTTGTTTATTGTATATAATATCCACAAAAATGCCAACTGGTATTTTCTAACCAATTCAATATAAAAAATTGCCAATAACTGCATGGACAAATAGTTCTTTAAATTTTCATGCCAGGTGTAGTAGCACATGCCTGTAATCCCAGCAGCTACAGAGTTTAAAGCCAGCTCCTCAGCAATTTAGCGAAGCCTAAGCAATTCAGCAAAGCCTAAGCAATTCAGCAAGACCTTGTATCAAAGTATAAAAAAAAGGGTGGGGATGTGGCTCAGTGGTTAAGTGCCCCTAGGCTCAATCCCTGGTACCAAAATATAATAATTCATTATATTCCTAACTTCTATGAAAAATACAGTTACATAATTATTAAAACATCAGGATATTAAGCTTTCTAGACTTGGAAAACTACATTGGTTTTTACACTCACAAATGTTACTCAGTGAAAAGTGAGACTAAAATGATTGAAAATTATTAAATCTGTTGGTATTACTTTTAGCAGAACTTGAAAGGAATCTATAAATATCTAGCTATATCCTAACATTACAATTTAAGTTCTCATAATGGTTGCTTCAACACAGCTCCCTCTAGACTAATAATTCATGGTTCAATTCAAACTCCTATGTAGAAGGAGGTACATATCAAGTAAAGTTTCAAGTAGGTGTTGAGTTATCATAATATATACTCTCTCAGAAACCAGCACTTAATTTTACTAAAAACAGTAATGCCATTATATGATTACTACATGTCTGTCGGCCGCAAAGACTGGAAATTCCACAAGAGATCACTACATTTCCCAGCATTCAACAGAGTGCCTGGACAATTCTCACAATAAAATGCTTGAGTAGAAATTACATTTGCTTTAGTAAAATGAATTATCCTTTGTAATAACAATCTAAAATGAGGTGACTATTCACATAATCTTTAGAAAGCTAAAATTCAAACTTACAGTTAAGATCTGTGTACTTGCCCTCCAAAGCTTGAACGTAAGCTTCATATTGTTTCCATCTAGTAGAAAATTAAATCCACATATTAGTTATTATTTTGAAATTGGTTTTATTAAATATTCTAGAAAATCATATCCATAATACTGAGAATTCTGCTGGATGATTTTTAATTGTRAGATATACAATTCTAGATGTTTACAGAAGACAGGTAAAAGGAAACAAAGAAAAGTGTTCTCTGCTGGAAACTCCCTAAATATACTCTTCTGGGAGAGATCACATCCCGGATTCATTTGGTATCACTGATACACAGGACGATGCATAAATTACAGAAGGTCTATGAAAAACGCCATACTACTTTCCATTTAAAACAAAGGCATGTAAAATGTTCTTTTGTGAAAATACCATGTCACTGTCTCAAAGTCTTAATTTTTTCCTACTTTTTAAACTGACATAATAATTGGACAGACATTCACAGGGTACACTGCAATAATTTTATACATGTGTACAACATGTAATGATTAAATCAGGGCAATCAGCATTTCCATCTCTCTAAACATTTATCATGTCTCTGTACCAAGAACCTTCAAACGTCTACCTTCTAGTTCTTCTAGTTCTTTGTCAAGTAATACAAATGCCATATGTTATCAGGGTGAGGCAGCCTTTCTTTCTTGTTGTAACTCCTTTGTCCTCAATATATATATAGATCAGTAGCAGCTCTTAGTCACTACTGGAGATAAACAATAAAGATTTTTCTCAAACTTTTTTCTTTCTTTTTGCAGTACTACTTGGGAGGCTGAAGCAGGAGAATCACCAGTTTAAGACTAGATTGGGCAACCAGCAAGACTCTGCCTTAAAATAAAATTTTAAAAGGACTGGGAATGTAGCTGAGTGGTAGAATACTTGCCTATTATGTGTTAGGCCCTGAGATCGATCCCCAGATTCAAAGGGGGTGGTGGGGATACATGGGACTATTTCAGAGGAACTAAAAAATATAAATGTTCAAGCAAAACCATACAAATTAAAACGGAAATCACAGACTACTGTATGTCACCACATACCATTGCTACCTCATTAATGTATAATTGTGAATTTTTCATTCATCCTAATCTTCCACCAAAGACAGTTTAGTTATAATTGCTGGGATTACAGGCATGCACTACCACACCTGGCCAAAATTTTATTTTAACTTCAAAACATCTTACTTCAGCTTCTCATTATAAGTGTGTGCCACCACACCCAGCAAGATTATCATGTTTTTTCCTCCTATAATTAAATCAAGAAAAAGACTACATGCCAGATACAGTACTGTACACCTATAATCCTAGCTACTCAGAAAGGCTGAGGCAGGAGGATCTCTAGAGCCTAAATGTTCAAAGCAAACCTGGACAAGAGTAAAAAAAATTATTAGAATATCCCAGGTCATCCCAGCTACTCAGGAGGACTACAAGTTCAAGGCCAGCCTGGAGAACCAATCTCCAAAAAAAAAAAAAAGTGGGGGCGGTGATGAGGGTATAGCTCAGTGATAGAGCACTTGCCTACTATATGTGCAAGGCTCCAGGCTTGATCTTCAGCACTAAAACAAACAAACAACAAAAAAAACCCAACAGCCAGGTGTAATGGTACATGCCTGCAATCCTAGTGGCTTGGGAGGCCAACACAGGAGGATCACGAGTTCAAAACTAGCCTCAGAAATTTGGCGAGGTGCTAAGCAACTCAGAGAGACCCTGTCTCTAAATAAAATACAAAATAGGGCTGGGGATGTGGCTCAGTGGTTGAGTGCACCCCGCCCCAGCTCAATCCTTAGTACCAAAAAAAAAAAAAAAAAAAAAAAGTGGATTGCAGACTAGGGAAATTACCTAAGAAGGGATAAACAAGGAAGTCCTATGTCAGAAATACAAAAGAGAACATATGATATATCATATCCCAAGCAGGTGTCTTTCTCAGCAAAAGAGGACAAGAGTGATAAACGTATTCAATGGAAAACTGTCTTATAACTGAGACTACATAGCAAAAGATAAAGTTTAAAGTCCACAATAGAATAGTTTAATACAAATGAAAGTAGGAAATTATCAGACTCTTGGAAAGAATCTTTCAAAAGGTAGACGGATGAAGCTCATCATCCGGCTCCTTAACATATAAAACATCTTTTCTCTTCCCTGCTTTCAAGCTGTTAAACTTGCTTCCTTCAAATAAAAAATCCTTGAAATTTCTAGGGAAAGCAGAGTTCAATGACTTTCCAGTGGTTGCCCTGAAAAATACTAACTTTTTAAGTATTTAATTTAATAACCACGGTTAATAATTTTACATAAAGAATATACTTAAGTTATAAAACATAAAATATCCTATTCTTTGATTCCTTATATTTAAATACTATAATATGGGACTTGATAATCTCCTTTGGTAAAACTTTTATAAGGTGGGCTAGGGATATAGCTCAGTTGGTAGATTGCTTGCCAAGCATGCACAAGGCCCTGGGTTCAATCTCCAGTACCAAAAAAAAAAAAAAAACCACAGAAATTCAGAACTGGAAGTGAGCTTCAAAACAATTTAATCCAAACCCTTTGGACATTAAGATAAATGAATTGGTCAAGGTCAACCCTAGAAGGAAGAGTAACTTCCCAACATTAGTAAATCATGCATTCCTTCCTTCTAAATAATTCCTTCTAAATAATGTCATTATTTAGAACAACTTTTTCAATATACAGTAAGAAGAATATATCAAAATAAGCTTTTAATTTGTTATACTGAAAATTAGAGCCAGGTCTTTCCTTACAGCAAGTTATACACATTAAGTACAAATGCCTCCCAAGTAACAAACTCTGAACATTTTACCTCTACCAAAAAAAAAAGAAAGAAAGAAAGAAATCAAAATCTATGTTATCTATGTTTGTCTATAAGTTACCTAAGCTAATGTTATAAATAAAGTGTTGTGTTTCTCAGTCCTTATGTAATGAAGAAACACACGAAAATTAATATGGTCAAAAAGACATCAAATGACTTAAGGACATGTTAACTTTAAAAACAAAATAATATTTGCCATAAGGATAAACATAACAGTATAGAATAAAAATACAACATTCTAAAGAAAGGATTTAAAAAACACTTTACCTTAGAATTAACTCGTCTCTTGCCATAACTTTGAAGTCTGTTTCACTCAGTCGAACCTATAAAAAGAATTAAAAAATTAACTGAGTGCTGCTCTTCCTGAAAATACACAAAGTTATTCCCAAAAGGAGCTCTATAATGAGACCTATAAAACATCAAGACTTATAATGCTAAATAGTTATTATCATATTTTCAAAAGTACAGTAGTTTTAAAAAGGCAAACCATCTGGTATCTTTTTTTGGGGGGTGGGGTTACTGGGGATTTAACCCAATAGTGCTTTACTACCAAGCCTCATCCCCAGCCCTTTATATTTGAGACAGGGTCTTGCTAAAGTACAGAGGGACTTGTTAARTTACTGAGGGTGGCCTTGAAATTGCAATCTTACTGCTTCAGATACTCAAGTAACAAGGATTAAAGATTGGGCCACTGCCAGAGGGGTAGAAGGGGAAGGGAGGGGGCAGGGGGTTAGCAATGATGGTGGAATGTGATAGTCATCATTATCAAAGTACATGTAAGAAAACACGAATTGGTGTGAACATACTTTATAAAAACCAGAGATATGAAAAACTGTGCTGTATAGATGTAATATTAATTGTAATGCATTCCGCTGTCATTTTTTAAAAAATATATTGGGGCCACTGGGCCCAGCACTATTTGGTATCTTAATATGCATCATCATTACAGAAATGCAAATTAAAATTCCAATGAGGAATCACTACACATTGATTAAAATGGCTTTTAAAAAAAAGTGGTAACAATTGCTGGTGAAGATTTGGAGAAATTGAACTTTCATACATTGCTGGTGAGAAGAAAAAATGGGCCACGTACAGTGGGGTACACCTGTAATCACAGCAGCTGGGAGGGCTGAGGCAAGAGGACAGCAAGTTCAAAGTCAGCCACAGAAACTTAGCAAGGCCCTATCTCAAAATAAAAAAATAAAAAATGGGTTGGGGATGTGGTTCAGTGGTTGAAATGCCCATGGGTTTAATCCCTGGTGCAAAAAAAAAAAAAAAAAAGCAAGCAAAATGGTAATGCCCACCATGAAAAATAGCTGGTTCTGTTTGTTTCTTTATTCATGTGGTACTAGAATCAAAACCAGGGCCTCACATTTGATAGGTAAATACTCTTTTTAATTTTCATTTTGAGATATGATCCTTCTAAACTGCCCAGGATGGCCTTGAACTTGGGATTCTCTTATATTAGCCTCCTGAGTAGCTGGTATTACGGGCATGCACAACCACACAGTTCTTTTTAAAACTAAAAACACAAAAACAAAAACAACAAAAACTAAACACAATGTGCCATGTATCCCAGCAGTTGCATTCTTAAAGCATGTATCCCAAAGAAATTAAAACAAATATTCATGGCAGCTTTAAAATAGCCCCAAAATGGGCTGGGGCTGGGGCTGGAGGTCAGTGGCAGAGCGCTTGCCTGACATGTGTGACGCACTGGGTTCAATCCTCAGCACCACATAAAAATAAAAACAAATAAAATGAAAGCATTCTGTCCATCTACAACTACCAAAAAAGAAAAAAATAAATAAATAAAGCCCCAAACTGGAAATTACCCAAGTGTTTTTTAAAAGATAGATGTTTGTTAAACTATTGATACATCCACTCTAYGGAATACCATTTAGGAATAAACAAATAAACCACTGATAAATAAAACAACTTGAATAAACCCTAAGAAAATTATGCTGAGTGAAAAAATAATCTCAAATTATATACTGCATGATTTCCTTTATGTAACATAGGAAGGGAAAGCAAATTAGGAGTTGGGGGTGGTGGTTTTAGAGCTGGAGGGAAGGGGTGCATATGGCTACAAAGGAGTAACATTATGTATCCCAAAGAAATTAAAACAAACATCCAGTGCTCCTCATGCTAAGACAGGAGGAGTTTGAAGCCAGCCTCAACAACAGCAAGGTGCTAAGTAGCTCTGTGAGAACCTGTCTCTAAATAAAATACAAAAAAGGGCTGGGGATATGGCTGAGTGGTTGAGCGCCCCTGAGTTCAATCCCCAGTACCTCCCTCAACAAAAAAAGTAAAACAATATAATTCTTTATTCATTTTGTGAATAATGTGATTCTAAAACTTAGGATAGAAATTGCTATGACACATTATCTAAGTTGTGCACTAAAGTATTAACAATTTATTAAGCAAATACCCTACTTTACTAACTGAATCCTAAATTTCTCCTAGAAATTATGTTACTCTTTTGTAACACTCATTGTGTGCGTATGTATACAGACTATAGGCAATAGTGTCTAAAATCAGTTAAGGTAGGGATAGAAAACAGGAAAAAATTCAAGTTAAAAAACAACTTCAGAGGGAATGGCTAGCTATAATCTTAAAAAATATATAGAAGTAATTTTTAATTCTGATAATGAGGATTTAAATTAGGAAAAAGGAACAATATGGGAACTTGAAAAGTAATCTTTTTTTAACTGACATTGTGTATGTGTGTAACTTAACCATTTTGCACTAAAGATAAATAATGAATTCAAGTGGAGAACCACTATAGAATGCTGACTTTTACAATGAAGGCCGATAGCAGTGATTACTTATTAAGTACATACCCAATGAAAATATTTCTATACTGATTGTATGCCACAGAATAATCTGTATTTCAAAAATAGCTTTTTCAGATACATTTACTTATTATACATTATATATTACTTATTAAGTACTATACATACACATACTATAGTGAAAGAGAAAGATGGAAATTTTATCAAGATAAATGTTTTTCAAAAGCTACAAATAGTCTAAATATAGAGTGTATGTAAGATACAATTAGCTAGCACACTGTATCCCCCTATGGCCCAGATGCTATTATTGTTATAAAGGAAAGGGAGTAAAAAAATAAGCAAACAATACAGAAGAGTCCTTTAAACTCTACTATTAAAAAATAAGTGCTTACAAACTGCTGAGAGGGCTGGGGTTGTGGCTCATTAGTAGGGCACTCACGACCTCATGCCTAAGGTATTGGGTTCAATCCTCAGCATCACATTAATAAATAAATAAAAAGATATTGTGTTCATCTACAACTAAAATAAAAATTTTTAAAAAATACTGCTGAGAAAACATACCTTTTTTGGAAGAGGTTCTTCGTTGGTCATCTTGAATCCTAAAAAAATTTAAAAAAATTAAAAGTTGGGGAAAAGAGGTTCAATCGATTATCTTCCAATTAAAGTAGAACAAAAAATACTCTTTCAAAGCAATTTATTAGTAAACTAAGTTTTGGTTAAATCATTAGCATTTTTTAATTTAAATAAACCTTTTATGTTAGAACAGTTTTAATTTATAAAAAAAGTGGAAAGCTATTAGAATTCCTGTATACCCTACACCAAATTTGCTCCTTGTTAATGAGCTTCATTGTTGTCTCCATTATCATGGTTATTGGTTAATTTTTAATATTTCCCTATAACAAAGGAATGAATCCTTTTGATGTTGAGAAAAAGGATCAATGGGCTGGGGATGTGGCTCAAGCGGTAGCGCTCTCGCCTGGCATGCGTGYGGCCCAGGTTCGATCCTCAGCACCACATACAAAGAAAGATGTTGTATCCGCCGATAACTAAAAAATAAATATTAAAAAATTCTCTCTCTCTCTTAAAAAAATAAAATAAAAATAAATGTTCTAAAAAAAAAAAAAGAGAGAAAAAAGGATCAAGAAAAATACAACTTTGCACTGCGATCTTAACAACTCCCCCACCCTTCTGAAAGCAGAAGTGGTAACTGCTCAAATCAGACACTGACCACAGGCAGTCACCTACACATATTGCTGAAGGAATAGAGAAGGGTAGGTAATAATCAGTTTCCAAGCCTTTCCTTTTACAGAATTATGTTGTATAGCAAGGTAGAATCTATTATAATATTACGATTCACTACTTTCCAGTGTCACATACACCTGCTATCTTTCTATGTATGTGTTTTGAAATACATGTTTATACCTAATGAAATCATTTCTACATTAATTCCACAAAATGTTTGAAAAATAGCTCTTCAAATATACTTATACAAAATTCACTTAACCCTGCTGCCTTAAAGATAAATAATGGGGCTGGGGATGTGGCTCAAGCGGTAGCGTGCTCGCCTGGCATGCGTGCGGCCCGGGTTCGATCCTCAGCACCACATACAAACAAAGATGTTGTGTCCGCTGAAAACTAAAAAATAAATATTAAAAAAAAAGATAAATAATGAATTTAACTGCAGATCCACTGTATAATGCTGTCTTTTAGAATGAGGCCAATAGCAGTCATTACTTGTTAAACACCAAAACTAAAAAAAAGAAACTGAAGGGGGAAGGAGAGAAAGAAATGTATAACATACTTTAAATAATGTCTTAAAATACAAGGCTGAGGGCTGAGGCTGCAGCTCAGTGGTAGAGTACCTGCCTCACACATGTGAGGCACTAGGTTCGATTCTCAGCACCACATTAAAAATAAATGAAGGAAGGAAGGAAGGAAGGAAGGAAGGAAATACAAGGCTGGAAAAAAGATATATGTGATAGAATAATTAACCCAATAAAATGTTCATATGAATTCTATAAGCATAAAATATTGAATCAGTTTGGGTTCCTGTACCGTTTGTTAACAAACATCTTAATTGAGTTTGAAATATAATTTATACCAACTAAGAAATTWGCTCTTATATTGCAAACACTTCTGTTACTTCCTAATATTTGAATTTAATCAGAAGACAAGCTAATTTTGTTATTCCTAGGTATTATTTGTAACAGCAGGTTCATGACTGTTCTCTTAAATTTTAAAATATTTTTATCCAGTTTAAATTACTTACTCACATTTAGTATAACTCTAAAATACTAGAGATGTAATTAAAAAATTATGTTTAGGTGAATTTTTTAAAACGGTATTTAATTTCTTAGTATTGGGATTCCTCAAGATTATTTTCTAGTACTATTTATACACAAAATCCCAACTCTACATATGGTCAAGATATTCTGGGGCTGGGGATGTGGCTCAAGCGGTAGCGCGCTCGCCTGGCATKCGTGCGGCCCGGGTTCGATCCTCAGCACCACATACCAACAAAGATGTTGTGTCCGCCGAGAACGAGAAAATAAATAAATAAATATTAAAAATTCTCTCTCTCTCTCTCTCCCCTCTCTCACTCTCTCTTAAAAAAAAAAAAAGATATTCTAATCATATCATCATTAAACCCTGTTTTTCAGAAATCGATGTTTGAGGGGAAGAAAATCATACACTGACCATATCATAAATTACTACTTTCATTCTTCTCTTTAGAAATCTTCATATGTGGTTTGGGGTGTAACTCAGTTGTAGAGTGCTTACCTAGCATCAGCGAGGCATTGGATTGGATCCCCTGTACCAGAAGGGGGGCGGGCACAAACTTTCAAGAGACTATAGGTACAAACCTTCTTGCCTGGTTCTACATTTTGGTTTTTTTCTTTAATCAAGTTTTTCTCTCCTATGTAGTCATGACCATATTTCCTTAATATATACTATTTTATTTTTTCTTTAAAGCATCACTACCAACTTTACAGCCTTTGTTGCGCAGTTTATAAACTATGCTATAGTTACAGAAAGTTGCTTAGTGACTATCCTAATCTGATAGCAATCACTCATTCCAATCATTGAGGAAACCCTCACTATGTTTATCTGCACAAAGATCTAACTGCTTCTATTTTTGCATGATTATATCTTCCCTCCACTAGACTACAAAATCTTATAACAGAAATCAAGCCTGGCACCTCCTTGTAATTTTACATTTGTTCACAGAAAAATATAGTAAGTAAATGTAAAGAACCTCTTTAACTTAAAAAAAAAAAATCACCCACAATTTTAACAATTTGAACTGTACATATTTATTTATTTAGCTGGTCTTGAACTGTGCTTATTTATTTATTTGTTTGTTTGTTTGCTTGAACTTTCGATCCTCCTGCCTCAACCTCCTAAGCAGGTAGGATTGAAGATGTGCACCACYGCACCCAGCCTTTCAGGGTCTCCTACATTGCAGAAGTTGATGGGAAGCCTTTAAGATTTAACCAGAATAGTGACACACAGACACACACTAAATATGTTTAATTCAGACTGGGTGAGCTATCGCATACCTATGATCCCAGCAATCCAGGAGGCTGAGGAAAGAGGATCACAAGTTTGAGACCATCCTGGGCAACTTAGTGAGACTTCTGTCTCAAAATTTAAAAAGGGCTGGGGATATAGCTCAGTGTTTGAGCACTTGCCTACCTTGCACAAGGTCCTAGGCTGGATCCCCAGTACTTTATATAATAAAAGAAAAAGAGGTAGGGTAGGGGGTGGTTCAGTGGTACAGCTCCTAAGAGCTTAGCATTCACAAGGCCCTTGGAACAATTCCCATTTTGGAATGCAGGGGTGGAAGGTAGAGTAGCAAAACCCAAAAATCTAAAGGCTTCCCATCTCACTCAAACTACTACATACCCAGTTTTTGGTATCCCCCTTCTATTAACCTTCATTTTTCTTCATAATTTTTATTGCAACCTGACATTTGTTATGCTTACCTCCTATTTCTTGAAATTATAATATGCTCTATAATAGCAGAATTGTTTCATTCACTGATGTCCTATTGCCTACCGGGCACTAAAGTATGTTACTTGAAAGTATAAACAAATGAATATGCTTCCTTCTAGTAGTAAAATCATAAAGGTGAACTTATTTAAATAAGCCAAATTAATTATCTTCCAGAATTAACCAAGATGACCAGACCATTACATTTTTTTTTAAAGTGGTGCTGGTGATCATTACATAAAATTTTGCGACTGATAAAACAGACCTTAATATAATAAGTACTGTGGCAGAATTATATGAGTCACAGTTTAAAAACAGCTAAATTGGGCTGGGGATGTGGCTCAAGCGGTAGCGTGCTCGCCTGGCATGCAGCGGCCTGGGTTCGATCCTCAGCACCACGTGCAAACAGGGGTGTTGTGTCCGCCGAAAAAACTAAAAAATAAATATTAAAAATTCTCTGTCTCTTTAAAAAATAAAAAGAAAAAATAAAATAAATAAAAAATAAAAACAGCTAAATTTATTACTAAGACTAGGTAGCCTACCTGTTATCTAGTTACCAGGCACCTTACCAACTTGGTATGTAGGATTTTGGTTATAAAACTTAAGTATCAGCAGGCATAGTGGTGCACACCTGTAATCCCAGCAGTTGGAAAGGCTGAGGCAAGAGGATAGAAAGTTCAAAGCCAGCCCCAGAAACTTAGCAAAACCCTAAGCAATTCTGTGAAACCCTTTCTCTAAATAAAATATAAAAAGATGGCTGGGTATGCGGCTCAGTGGTTAAGGGCCCCTGGGTTCAATCCCTGATACCAAAAAATAAAAACAAAAAATCCTTAAGTATCATGAATGTTATTCCATATAAATTCTAGATTAAACTTTATTATATACCCCTACAACCCAACACTTTCCCTAGGAAGTGTTAATTAGGTATGTCAGTAGTAAACTGACCTGGGTTCAATACCTGGTACTACAATATATAAATAAATGACTGACTAGAAAACATATGAAGGAAATTCGGATAACCCTGGTTTTCTAGGAAAGGACATTAAACTTGGAAAACAAACAAAAAAGGAATAGAACCTCTAAGCCTTAGCTCCTTATCTCAAAAAAGATTACAAGCATGGCCCCCCACAAAAAAAACCACAAGACTCTCATTCAGTGTTTGTTGAAAAACCTGAAGAGATCATTCACAAGTGGACAAGAACAATCAAAAAGCCTTCCTGGGCTGGCTGTGGTGGTACATACCTGAAATCCCAGCAACTCTGGAGGCTGATAAAGGAGGACTGCAAAGTCAAGGCCAGCCTCAGCTACCTAGCAAGACCTTAACCAACTTAGTGAGACCCTGTCTCAAAATAAAAAATAAAAAGGGCTGGAGAATGTAGCTGAATAGTAAAGTACTCCTGGGTTAAATCCTTAGTAACCTTCCTCCCCCAAAAAATGGCCTTCCTGTTTCTTTCACAGAATTATTCTTGATGATTTCTAATTTTCAGAATTCTTAAAAACCCAATTATTTAAATATCTAATGTTGGTTTATGTTCATTTCTCTTAAAAAAAAATCTGATGTTAGGCTGGATACAGAAGCACCAGCCTATAATGCCAGCAATTC